CCAGCCGCAGCGCCAAGCGCTGCGCTTGCGTCTCCGGCGAAAGAGGGGAGGAGGGGGAGGCTTTCACATCCTCAAACCCCAGGGAAACATGTGCCACCGCGGCAGCTCCGTCCCTCGCCGTCCAGCTGCCGGCTCATACATAATTAATCCCAATCCATTAACGCACCAGCACGGCCGCACCTCCGCTGCAGGGGCAGCTCCTTTGAAACAGCCAGGCCTGCGGTGGTGTGAAGACCGCAGCTGGGGGTGGCCAAAGGTACAGCGAACTGGCTTCACGCTCGCTGCAGTTGTTGGTAAAAAAAAGGAGAGCAAGGAAGGTTCCACTGCAAAAGCAAAGAACTGTGCTGGGCTAGTCAGCGTCATGAGCATTTACAGCTGTGCTGCTCAGCCTTTCCCGCGCTGCTACAAAAAGGCAATTAAAAAAGTGCCTGGAATTGCAGGGCATGTGCATGTTCCTCTGGTGTAAGAATATTTAATTTGCAGTTGGTTAGAGAAAGGATTTTTTTGCAAGGATGGAGGATGAAAAAGTGAATTATCTGGGAAGCAAATAAAGTCTGGCAAGAAAATGTCACTGCATTGGAAAATTTGTTATGTTGTTACTGTACCAGAGAAGAAAAATGGCTGATTGTATAAAAGAACCCAAAAGACTGCTCCACAAGAATCCTGAAGCAAAGTAAAAGGCAGATATCTAGTAAAGAAGACTAGCTTAGATATATGACCAGCTCATCAATATTCTTCCCTAAAGCACAGATCACTTTTGAAAATTGACAGTAGAAATAATTCAACTTTCCATGGCAAATTGAATTCCCAGGATAATCTGGACAGAATCTCTGTCAATGAAATCCAAGATAAAGCTTTTATTGCATTTCATTCTGCACAATGAATGCAACAAAAGATGAGTCATCCTTGGAATGTCTTCCATCCTGTGCCTTACCTGGCTCCCATGTCTTCGCCTCTCCTCTTCCTAAAGCTTTCCAGGAGAAGGTAAGTGGGAAAAGTCAGTCTGCAACAATGGAAGTTATTTCTTGTGTAAAACTGAATATATTTGGTATGGAGATTACTGAGTGTCAGTAAATATAGACAGCAATACAGCATTTTAAAGTCTTGTTACAGGCAGAAGTCAAGTGTAGAAGTATCTTTTCACTAACTTGAATGTACAAGTATGATAGGAAGTGGACACAAGTTGTTTCAGACAAAGAATTCTGTGGTTTTGTACTGTTGGCTTAGCCTTACGATGCCAGTACTGCATACACAGTGTTCTCAGCTGCCACTTTTTACCCATTTTAGTTCATGTGACCTATAGATGAAAGCTTGTAATAAATAAGGAAGATTTATTTATTTATTTATTTATTTTCTGCTCCATCAGTAAACTACTCCAAAGAAAAATCACTATGATTCTGCATCATGGAACATAGCTTTTTATTACTATAAACCTGAACTGTAAGACATGTTAGACCTCCTTCTGACTCTGTGTTAATCAAGAGCAAGTTAGGAATTCAGGGGAGGTACATCTGTGTGAGACTGACATAAATGAGAGAACTATCAGACGCTAATTTTTCCTGACAAAACCACAAAGTAAAGGCTCCATAATGGGAATTGAGCTGGCCAAATAAACGTAGTTTGATTTTTCCAAAGTGCTGTTTGCAGATGGCACTGAATTCATGCAGAGAAGACCTCTACAAATCAGACTGCTTTTGTTTAGATTGCTAAATGAAGACCATCGAGCTTGGGATTTGGAAATGAGTGCTGCATATTCTGACTTGAGGCATTAGTGGATTTGCTGCATGGAAAACTCTGATGCCAATGTGATTTACTCATTCCGAGTAATTATTGTAAGTTTGCATTTAGGTGCAGTAGTGTTTGATAAAATTTGTTTTAGTTAAATCAGTGTTTCAATTTAATTCATATTTGTGATATCAACAGAATAGCTTATTTTAAAATACCTCAATGAAAACACCATATAGTTCTTAGTAAGAGTGAAAATGTCTCAAATAGATGAATAAATAACTGGTAGTGCCATTTCAAATTGTTATGTGTGCCCACTTGAAAGACTAGATTATTGGGGTATGCATGAACCATGTTTTGCACCAAGAGACATTTCATTGTGAGGTGGTTTTCATTGTTACCAAGCAACAAAAAAACCTCTCTGCTCATTCAGTGGCTGTGTTCTTTCTGTACTATACTTGATAAACCTCTTTTCAGGAAAGAATGCACTACTGCCTTGCTCTTTATGGTATGTACTGTTGTACATACATGTATGTACATGCATCTATGTACTGATCTTCTGGAAGACAACTTCTAGTTTTACTGCGGCTTGTTGGCTAGAACCTCAGAAACTTGGAGAAACAGGAGCACGTGGAGTCTTTTAAGTTTACTGCCACATAGGGACAATAGAAAAGAATGACCATGGATTCCCACAGAGCTGAAAGGTAGGCAAGCGCCTTTAAAAAGTCCGCCTTGTCAGTTGAACCAGTTCACAAGATGGATTGCCAACAGTATCGAAGTCTGTTAAAGAAGATATGCATGCCTGTTGTGAGATGTCCTGAGAACAGACATAGCTTCGCCAGCTTTGAAGAGAAAAACAGTAATTCTTTCCTTAAATTCAATCCATTCACCCCTCCAGTAGGGCCTAATTACCCTTTATTCCCACACCGGGATGATGTGCCTTTAGTGGATCCCTGCTCAGGTTTTGTGAGCTCAGGAGCAGATGCTGACCTGCAGCCCAATGTTGGAAGAACTATTGAATCCCTGGTGGACTACAGTGATGTGAAACCTCACCAGCGGATCCCCATCACAGGACAGAAAGGCCAGACTGCCCACAGGAGGCCTATGATCCTCCTAGAGGAAATCAGCCAGAACAGAAGGTGGAACTCCAGGGCTGTGTCAGCTGCATCTCTCAGGGCACGACTAAGAGGTAAAACAAACTACTGTTTTTATTTCTTAATCACCATATAAATTGGTGATGCTTAATGAATAAATACAATTAGTTTCTGAACTCCATTCCCCAAGCTCCTGAAAGAAAAACCTTGTAAGATATATTTGCCCTGGGCATTTGAACTGAATATAACAACTGTGATAGAGTGTTTGTATGATTCATTGTCCCTGTTGTAGCAAAGAGGTAGCATTCAGAAAACTCTAATGAGCATTCTAATGCTGGGGGAAAAAAAATCTTTGAAGGTAAAAAACGTTTTAAAAAATTTATTTAGGTAAATAATGAAGTTATATACAATAGTCCTAATGAGTACCTCTTTTAATGTAAACCAAAATAACAAATCACTGCAGAGTCGGGAAATCCCCTGGATATTTCTGTGTCTCTTAGTGTTTCCTAACAAGTTGCAGTGCAGCACATCTAAAGATATGTTCCAGTGTCTAGCTGATCAGAGAACAGAAGTTCTTTAGGACTGCCATCACATGTTGGTCTACGTACATATTACCTTCTTTTTTTATACCAATGTGTTACACATAAAGTTGGGTTTGATCATTTCATATTGATTACAGCATCAAAATGGAAATTCACTCTTTTAACATGAAGCAAAATTGGGTTGGTGATTAATATTCAGAATTTTCTGATGAAAATTCTGGAAAGCAGAAATATCTACCCAGGACTTCTAAAGGCAGACATAATTAGCAGTAAGCAACATGGTTGAGTTTTTATAAAGATTAAGCCAATTCCAATTATTTTCTCCAATGAGAGAAATGCTTATTACAGCTAGAACAAAATTTTATGAGAACTTAGGCAACTTCCTTATAGATGGGGGAGTCATTTCTTAGAACATGGTAAAGAAATGTAAATAAGATCCTTGTTCCATTTTACTATACAGAGGTAACATTCTCACTTCACAGTTAGCTATACTTATCCGTGTTATTGTCACCATGAAGTCTCTAGGTGGTATAAATTCAGGCAGTGTGTTTGGTTCCTTGTTCCTGTCTTTGAACTTTGCATGTTAAATCACTTTACACTTACTGCAGTCATATAACAGAACTCAGAAGAACCCAAGAAACCACAAGGGATGAAAAATTAGACTTCATGATTTTCCTTTTTTTTTTTTTCTTGCTCATCCCATATAATCTTCACTCTTATTTCTCAGTTACTGTGTTCTCCATTTACATATGAAATCAGACCTCAGACACCAATCAGAACTGATCATCTGGTTTTTTTCTGCAAGCCTCTGGAAAAGTAAAGGGGGAAGAAGATCTGAGATATGCAATTCTATTTGACCATTAATTTTTCCAAAAGCAGTCAGAGACAGAGATAGAGATACTCTGGCAGATAGAGACACACCTGAAATGAACACAGACAAAATCTGAAACGGAATGTTATCAAGCCACTAACCCAGATTATAGTCAAGAAAGTGGTCCAAAATGGAGAGTAGTTCCAGAAAGCAGATAGAAACTGTCTGGTGGCTTTCTGGTGATACTTCATCGGGTAAAGTTCACTATTAGAGTGAAATATAGACTCAACAGAAGCTGTCAGGAAAAGTCAAACTTAACTCAGGGACAAATCTTGAAACAGATATAGTCCAGCATAAATTTCTTCAGGAAAGCTGTGCAAATGTTCTTCCAAACCTTGTACTCATTTCACAAGTTTTTCTGTGATGCTGAGGTATTAACTACAAATGTGTGAATACAGATATAAAAAGTAGTTGAGTTTTAAGCTACTATTTTTAGTTAATGAGACTGCATAAACAAATTCCGGATTTCAGCTATATTCAGAGAGCCCAGCTACCAACCCCCAGGCATGTGATGTGATGAAAGTTGCTAATCCTTCTAGATATTGGTCCCAAGACATTCCACAGCTAAGTTGTTTGGGGAAGTTGTGCTGAAAGAGAGATCAATCGGGCATTTTGCAAGCAAATTCTACATTTACTTTCTCTGCTGTGTTGGGATGAATGGAGAAAACACAGACACAGAAGCAGCCTTTGAGACAGATGAGCTGAGGTATATAAAACATCTCCAATAGACAGGAGGTTGTTGTGAGAAGGTGTAGTGCTATGGCTTTGGCAGTCAACAGTGTAACTCTGAACTTCCCCAGCAGCCTTTTGCATTTACTGATGAAAGCAAGTTTATTGAACAGTGAGGCTCTGTGATAGCAAAGCACAGGTGAGAAGCTGACAAAGAAGGTCATTCTAAGAATGGAGAATCAGAGTCTGCCAGAGAAGGGAGACAGATGAAGATCTATTCTTCATGTATTCTCAACTGGCATAGGGAAGGTGCTCAGTGCTAGAAGACAAGGTCTTTAGGAAGTTGAAAGTGTTTGCATGTAGAGTCCTCTTCTCTCATATGACAACAGAATTTCATAACCTTTTCTCTGTGGTCTCAGGTTTCTTTGCAGTGTTTAGGAGGACCTCAGAATTTGACCGTGCCGGTATATTTGTACCTGGAAACCTGGTGACGAAGCTTTCATACCTATTTAGTAATTATTATTTTATTTTGTATGGCTTAACACAGAGATGGGCATGGGGATTGCAGAAGGAACCAGAGTATTTGATAAATCTAATAAGGAGCAGAGATGACTTCTTGCCCCTACTGGAAGCTGACACATTTGTAGATACAGTTTTCTTAAAAAAATGGGTAATGGGAAACACTATAGAGTTTACCTATAGACTTGATACCCTTTTCTATAATAAATAAGCAGTTAGCTTATGCCCCTACAAGAGTGGCCATATTTGGATTTGTCCAAAAGCCCAGCTAGTCTAGTATTCCATCCAGGACTGTGAATAATTAACAAAGAACGTCATCATACTTCCTCTGCATATTTTCCTATTGTGATGATTTGTGGACCAGGGTTTCGTGACCAGGAGATGGTGTGTTTGTAGTTAGTAGTCATGGATTCATAGATTTGCCTTTATGAATATATACATTCGCTTTCTGAACCCATCACTTAACTTCCAACCCTCTATTTCCAGGTAATTTCTGAATATGTTAAGCAACAAAGTCCTAAGCCCCGATGAGTTACCTCTAGGTCTCTCTGTCAGTGATCTCCATCCACCTGGAAAACTGATCATTTACCCCTTCCCTCCTTCTCTGATCTTCTAATCAGTTATCTATCAGTGTCTTTATTTTATAAATATCTATATTATATAAATATTTTATAAATATCTATATTATATAT